GAACATCGTATTGCGCCACCACTTCTTCGTCAGAGAAGCTCTTCCCCAGCAGAGTCGCCATCTTTTGTTTGTGGGAAAATTTGCAATAAAAGAAACGAAGGAAAATTGATTTGTATTCCTTTAATCTCAGTTACAATTGGATTTCCTGATTACAAAAGAGAAGAGAATGATCTGGATTCTCCCCTGTGTTTAAATCTGGGTTCTTCACGGTGGCGATGAGATGCCTCCCTCGAATGCTCGCGTCGAGTTTGCTTCTCGTTGACTCGAATGCTCGCGTCGAATTTGCTCTCCGTTGACGATTCGAATGTCTTGATTCACTGGAACATGGTCTTCTCCTCACGATTTGACGTTGTGGAGAACTCTGAACGAGTTTAAAACTCTATGAAAGAGTTGATTTAACCGAAATCGGTCTATAAGCCAAGGATGAAGAAGATCTTATTGCCGATCTCCAAAGCTCCAACCGAAGGTTGAAGGATCCTCTTTTCGCTGCCAAGAAGTTCCAACCGACCGCCCTCCAAAGATCCAGCCCTGATCTGATTATCAAAAATCCGATCTTTAACTCTGTTGAGTTTGTTGTTATTTATAGGGGATTAAGGGGTGTAACCACCTCCTTAATTCGCTCCTAAGTGGGGCTAAGGGATGTAACCGCTCCTTAAATCACTCCTGAGTGGAGTTGTGATCCCCTCAGATCGTGGGAAATGGTTTTGAAACCGTTCAACTCGTGTTTGAACGAGTCAAACGCAAAATCCGCATTCTGGTGTGAATTCTGCGTTCAAACGCAGTGTCTGGAAGCTTGAACGCAGTGATTGGAAGCTGCGTTTGCAGCGGATGAAAGCTGCGTTTGGCAGCGGCATTGAGCTGTGTTGGGCAGCGCTTGGAGCTGCGTTGGGCAGCGTGGGCGCGAATAGAGCCTGCGCTGTGGCACGATGTTGAGCTGCGTCGTGCAGCGGATGTTGAGCTGCGTCGTGCAGCGATGTTGAGCTGCGTCGGGCAGCGATGTTGAGCTGCATCGGGCAGCGAATAGAGCTGCGTCCAGTGGCGATTTAAGCTGCGTTTGTAACTTTTGGAGCTGTATTTGAGCTGCGTTCGTGGCTATGAACGCGGCGCATCTTGATGCTGGTACGCGGGGAGTCTTCCACGTCTTGATTTGAAGAGACCATTGATTTGTAGTCTCTTTCTGTCGAAGCGTTGCAAAGATGTCATTTTGGGTAATCTTTACTTTAGCTCTTTGATATGCAAAGTCGTCAGATTGTAACTCCCGATGTTGATTGTGAAGGCTGTTGAAGTAGAGCTTCCATCAGTTGTCGTGAAGGTCGTCAGATTGTAACCTTCAGCGATCTACGTGAAAGTCTTCAAATTATAACCTTCTGGAAGTCGTCAGATTGTAACTTCCATCATCGGTGTTTGATGGGGATCAGCTATCTATTGTGATTTTTTAGACAGCCTACAGTTCTTTAGTCTTTGGAGCCAATAATATTCATCGCACAAGACATAAGAGCCAATCTCCATCATCATGATCCACCCCATCACCTCCATAGTCTTCGGTATCATCTTGGTCTATATCTTCCTCTTCATGATCCACCATATTCACAACACTTCTCTTAGGAATTGATTGGATCGATGACCAGGTTGACCACATCTGTAGCACTTAATTGGATCAGGTTTGACATATGGATTCAGTGGTGTAGCCTTCTTTGTTGTTGTTGTCATTGGTCCTGTACCTTTCTGAGTTGTAGTATCTTGATCAGAAGCAGTTTGAGACTGTTTGTTCCACCACGATTAAAGCTTGTGTGCGACCTGTCAGAAGTTGTCCACGATCCTCTATTATTCCGTCCAAGTTGTCACTCTACCTTTTTGGCTAGGATAACTGTGTCTGCCAAAGTATATGTCTACTACAACGATACACGATCCTAAATTGCTATCCTCAATCTCTCGGTATATCAAGACATTTGTTGGGCCTCGTTCACATTTAAATTATTATGGGATGACAACCGATAAAACTCTTGTGTGTACTCATCAACTGTTCTTCCATCTTGTTTGCAATTCTGATATTGTCTGAAAAAGACTTGTTCATAATCATTTGACAAGAAATGGTCTTTCAGTAATTTCTTCATCTTCTCCCACCTATTGACTTTCGGCTTTCCTTGACGGGATCAATTCATGTATACTGATTCCTACTAAGTCGATGCTCCATCTTTAAGTCGATAGGCCACCAACGTAATCTTACGCTCATCTAGGATCTCTATATACTCGAAGAACCTCTCCACCTCTGCAACCCAATCAAGAAATTATTCGATATGAAGTTGCATGTTAAACGATGGCAGCTCCATCTTCATATTAAACCCTCCAACATCATAATTATCCCTTTATCGGTAGCCTCTGCGATCATCACCGTAACATGGGGCTTCATAGTTATTGTCATTGTTGAATTCATCATGTGGAGTTGGATCATGTCGCTGGCTACAATCAACGTGATTTTAAACTCCCACTGTGTTCAGAGGCTCCACTGCCGACGCAAGTTGCTCCATAACAGTCTTCATTTGATTAACATCAGTTTTCAACTTATCAAACTCAGTTCGAGAAATAGGGGTTTCGTTGCCTGCCATCGGATCGAAAAATAAGGTTCTGATACCAATTGATGCAACGCAAAAGTGATAACCTCGGAATCCACCAATGAGTGTTCTCTGAATCCACAAAGAACGATCTCCGAATCCACGAAGAAATATTAAAAGAAAAATTTTATTGATGAAAAGTTATGTCTCTAGGGCTTACAATACTCTGGTTAAATAGAAAATAAACAATTCTCCTACTATGACTCAAACTTTACCAAAAATAAAAATAACAAAACTCTTCCTAAAAGACTTCCTAGGATTAGGGAAGTAAATCAGTCAAATTTGAAATCAAACTTGATTTGCTTCCTAATCAAAACAGTCTCCTAAAACATTACCTAAAATAGTAAAAAACTAACAAAAATGCCGATATCTCTCAATTCGAAGGGAATTTGGCTAAACGAACGGTGGCAAACCAAACATCAATGGGTTTGGTTGACCCCATCTCGAAAAAATACTCGATTTACATATATAATTCGTCCAATTCCGATTTACGGTATGAGAGATATGACACGTTCTTTGCAAGCTATTTTCATTGATCGGGTCCGCGTTTGAGCATGTGTCGGTCCCGCTTCTCCATAAATATGTCCGCAGTCTGTTCTACATCAGTATATCATATATATAGAAGATTAACATGAAAAATACTTGAAATAACCATAACTATTTAGTCAAAAGGGGGAAAGATTGAAACTTTTTTTTTAAATAGTTGGTATGAGATGACTACTAATTTCACAAATGGCCCATGAGAAAGTAAAGTGCTTATACACGAGAAAGTAAAGTGCTTATACATGAATGCTTTTTAGCATCTTATATACAACACCTCCTAACTCAGACGAAAATTTGGGAATATAAATTTTATTCTGCATGATGCAAATTGCAATTATTTAAAGATAATGGATACTTGTTTTCAAAGATTGTGGATGAGGACAAAGCTCGCCACTTGCAAGTTGCGAGTGCAGGAGAAAGCATAAGGTAATGCATTATGAATTTCTTTTGTTTGGTATTAGTATAGAGACAAAAGCTATAGCCAACATGACATTATAATGGGGTCCCGAAAGAGTACTATGTGGGTGCAAATTTGGTGGATATTTTTGCACCTCCAATTTAGTTTATATACATAGTCAAGCCTTAATTTTCTTTTATTTTTTTTTATATTTCCCCTTTTATTTTGTATGATCAAAGTCTAAGCCCTGATGTATTGGGAGTAACAATAGATTCTTTGGAGTTGGGCATATTCACATTATTTACTTGTTGTCGAGGAGAAAATCCTACACTACCATCTCAAAGTTGACTCCTTGGCTTTATCTTGCTGTCTGAATTTTTTTTTTAAATTCTTTAAATTTTAGAATTATGTAAGCCAGGTCCAGGTTCACATAACTGGCCTCTGTTTTTTTATTTTAATAATAAGGAAATTTCAAAATAATCAGATTTATTACGTGTGCAAATTGTTGGCATAAGAAAATGAAATCAACCAAGTTTCTTTATTGAATAAATTATTGATGTGCTTTTCACGAAATTCTTCACATTTAACGATATCGATGAATCAACAAACACTTAGGGACTGTTTGAATTAAGTATTTTGAATGGATATAAGAAGCGATTTTGGGAGAAAACTGTCAAAAAGCTGACACAACTTTCCCTCTTATTTCCCCTTCAAAATACCTGATCCAAACGGGCCTTACTTCACTGTTGATGTAATGACCATCAACGCCATTAACACTTTAAGATAAAAATCTTCTAAAAAAGATCACTTAAAATATATCTCCTTGACTTACCATTACCAACGTTCTTCCAAGTTTTGCAACTTTGGACAAAAGACCAAGGAAAAATTACTGAAGCAAAACAACTTTGGACAAAAGACCAAGAAAAAATTACTGAAGCAAAAAAAAAATCAAAATTTTCATCTCTCAAAACTCCCTACCGTCCTTTCTTCGAAACTTCGATTCTTGAACGCACGAAGTACAAACAAACGGCGCCGTTAGAAACCTAACGTCTCTCTCTCTCTCTCTCTGATGTGAACGGAACGGAACGGAACGGAAAGTCAACCCAACGACAGGTTTTTTTAATTTTTTAATTTTTAAATCCATCCATTTGTTTCCACTCTCTTTAACAATAAGTTATATTTAATAACCCTCTTAGATCCGTTCTCCGTCTTCTCGTGAAACCTAAAGGGGTGAAGTTTTTGCTGAAGTCGAACAAAGCAAAGGATCTCTGAGCTGCGATCTCGTGCTTCGCCGGTCAACCAACCCTAATTCTCACCGCTGCTCGATTCCTTTCTTCGCGCTCTCTTTGAAAGCTGGGGCTTTTAAGCTCGTCGTCGCTCGGGCTTCTCTCGGGGTTTGAATCGCCGACTCGAGAAATTGAAGGTAGTTTGAGAATTTTGAGTTAGTTTTTGATGTTTTAGATGGAAGTTTGGGTTCTTTTTTCTATTAATTGTTTGTAGATCTGAGATTTGAGCTGTTATTGTTGTTAAAATCTATGGGTTTGTTGATTGGTTGTGGGGAAAAACTTGCATTTAATTCGTTAGGAGGTTGAAATCGTGGAAATTTATCATTTTGGATCTTTTCTAGTAGAAAATAGTGGGAAATTCCTCTTTTTTTCTCTTGTATCTAAACTTAGTTCTTGAAGATCCTTCCACTTGAAGCTTTTCCCCTTTGATCATTCCCTTCCTATTTATTGAATTTTTGTGGACAATACTTGCATTTGTTATGTGGGTAGTTCTAAAGTTGTGGATTTTTTTTGTCTCTTTTGGGGCCTTTTTTGGTAATAATTAGTGGAAATTTCCTCTTTTGTCTCTAGTAGACAGAATTATGTTCTTGGGACCTTTTGCCCTTTGATTCTCACTTCAATCTCTGTCATTATCTTAAAGCAAAAAAGAACCTTTCATTTTTATTCAGCTCCCAGTTCCTTAACCTTCACTTTTTTCAGAACGTTTCATGTAAAAACCTTATCCTTTTGCTCAACCCATGGCTCAAATTAGAAATTTACGGCATTTTCTTGCCAATCTCAATTAAAAAGTATGAGCTTTGTTTTGACTAAGAGTTATATTAATTAGGTGATAAAGCTTTGTTACTGTTTCTGTTCTTAAAGAGAATGCTGTGATGTGAATGGTACACGAGAATGAAAAGTTTCTTATGGTAATTGTTCACAGTTGTTCCCTTTTGGCTTTTTATCTTTTGCTCTATATTCCGCCTTTGATCAATTACTTGGTTCATGTTCTGATCATAGCTAAATCTGGGCATGCTGATATATAAGCAATTAAGCATGAGCCATATAGTTTATTGAGTCCTCAAGTGGAAGTCAACTGCTTATTTTATTAATTTTTGTTTGCTTATTCGTTTATTAGCATTTTTGCAGCCATTTGTTCTGCTATGGTGTAATTTTGATCCAGTGAAGGCTTGAAGCTCTTATAGAACAGTAATTTTTTGACTTCTGCACATAAGTAACAGGTATAGGTAGTTGCTGCGTATTCCTCTTGCCCTTCTCGATTCTGTGAGTGTTTGATTAGTATTTGTTTGTGTGTAGTTGTTTGATCGTCTCATTTGGTGTCACGGAAAGCTTTTGAGCTTCAAAATATTGAATATTTTCACCTGGGTATGTTAACACTTACATGTCCCTATATAATTGCCCCTATTACCAGTGCTCTTAGCTTGTAATTCTCATCAATGTAATATTTCCTCTTAGGAATCATGTTGTTCTGAAGGATCATTATTATTATTATTTTTGTATGAACAGAGTACCTTTTGAGTTTCTATGGTGCATATTCTTTTGCCTTTCAAAAGATGATCTGAGTAGTGTGAAGGCTTATAAGTCGGTCAATCTTGAGATACAGAAAATATAAGCATAGGTATGAGTCTTGCTTCCCATTCTCATGCTTCTGGTATAAATGTTCTCCAGTGTGTATAATAGCTAATATTGTTTGTAACTATTGCCTCCTTGTGCAGCCTGTCATTTGTTGTTCATAATTCTACACTAGTGGGTCACAATATATATGCCGTTTTGCCTGTTTAAGCTGCCTCTGCTTGTTCTCTTTGCTCGGCTCAAATTCTCTTAGATGTCTTTCCGGAGCATCGTCCGTGATGTGAGAGATGGGTTTGGGAGCTTATCAAGAAGAAGCTTTGAGGTGAGGCTCACTGGCCACTGCAGGGGAAAATCACAGGGCGCCGTGCATGAGCTGCATGACCAAGGTCCGGTTGTGCAGCACAGTTGTTGGGCTAGTCTTCCTCCTGAGCTACTCCGGGATGTGATTAAAAGGCTAGAGGCTAGTGAGAGTACTTGGCCTGCTCGTAAACATGTTGTTGCATGTGCTGGTGTCTGCAAGGCATGGAGGGAAATGTGTAAAGAAATTGTGAGAAATCCAGAATTTTGTGGGAAGCTGACCTTCCCTGTGTCACTGAAGCAGGTGGTATATTTAACTCTTAATTTTGTGTTAAAATTTATCCTTATTGCTAACTTTTAATCTTTGGACCCCTTCAATAGAAGCAACTTATGTTAATGTGATTGAGAAAATATTGTAGTAAGAACCTGGGAAGAATATGGAACAACTCAAGTAAAGCAGTCATGTGAAGAGTGCACTTTTTTTTTAATATTCTAGTGTGTCTAGAAAATAGCATGAGTGGAAACACTAATGGCAAAGTGGCTCGTTAATGGTAAAACTAGCTGCATTGACACCAAATATTGCCATCAATCAATAACAAGCTATCTCACCCTAAACAAGTAGTGCGAACTTGATGCTATTTATAGTTACCTGAATCAATGTAAAATGTTGGTAGTAGTTCACTTATGGACTCATTTTCATCATGGGTTAAAATACTCGCACATTATTTATTGTCTACTCTAAATGTAGTGTTTTTTTACCATTCTGGAGGACACATGTTTCAGTGCATAACATATAGTGTTTTTGAATGATTTGGTTAGGATTTGAATGACTGAATTTGGAAACCGTGGCAAAGTTACTAAAATTTTGCATTGATTTGTAAAATGATCACAACATAATTTACATATTTATAGCTTCGTAAATCTCCTAACCTAGCTTAAATGACACAAATATGCTAGTAGTATTGGAAACAAAGTATTGTTTTAATAATCTACAAGCACACTCAATAAGTTAAGGCCCATGGAAAATTGCTTAATGAAGAAGCGTAACTAAGAAATTAGAACTTTCAATTATTGTCAATAACACTTCTTGGTTGTTTTCTACAGCCAGGGCCTCGAGATGGTACTGTTCAATGCTTCATTAAGAGGGATAAGTCGAAGTTAACTTATCATCTATACTTATGTCTTAGTCCTGGTAAGCTTTCTTGTTCAATTGTCTCCTGTTAATATTTCATTCTCTTATTTCAGCTCATGCATTGTCATATATTTGGAATTTTCAGACTTGTAGTTTAGCCATGAATTTCCTGCTTTAGGACATGAAACATCATATCTTTGCATAGTATTGGTAGCCTATGAAGCACGAACACGGACACGGCAACACAGACACGACACAGACACGGACACGGCAAAACCCAAAAAAATAGGACACGGCGACACTGCTAGATTTTTTTAATATTATTATTATATATAGATCAATATTGAATTAAATTCCTATTACATTTTCATATTTTTTGTTATGTAAAGTGGATATTATAAATAAGAAACTATAGGAAAGTGTGGGTTGCAGGTGTGAATTAAGACGTCGGGATGGCAATGATCTTTTGGAGAATTGAAGACAATAATGTTAAAAAAGACAAGCAAGAGGAGATGAACATATAGAAAAATAGATGAATTTTTATGTTATATTATTATGTAACCTTTTGTATAATCAATGACAAATGTAAGTTATATAACTGATTTGAAGATAATACCAAATTTTAATTTTCATTACTTTCATCTTGAGCATATAAAAATACAAGAGAATAAAGTTCAAGTTGCAACTAGTTCCATGGCTACAAAATACTAAGTTACTAACATTGCAAAAATATAAAAATTACAACCAAAAGCGTACATTTACTTTCATCTTGAGCATATAAAAATACAAGCATATCTCGCAAAACGAGAGTTAAAAATTACAAGCATACATTTACAAGTTAGAATTATACCCAAAATATTACAAGCATTCCTCAAAATATTACAAATATAGTGTTGAAATGGAAGATAAATATTACAAGTATACAAAATATTACAACCCTAGCCCAAATTTTTATTTACAAATGCTACCCATATAAATAGGTAGGAGTGGGTTCTAGGGCTAGGGTTTTCATTTTCTCCTTTGCTCCTAAATCTGCCGCCTCCCTTCAGATCTGACTCCAAAAGAACGGCTCCTCTCTCCCCTCTCCTTCTCAGATCTCGGCTCCTCTCTCCCTCCCCTTTCTCCTCCTTCAGATCCGAAGGGCTAGGGTTTTCACCGCTCTCCCTCGAATCTCGTCGTCGAGTCCTCCCTCGAAGATTGTTGTTTACTCCCTCGACTGTCTTCCCTCCTTCAGGTTCGTAACTTTTTCCCCTCGTGAAATCGTTGTGTCCCTGCCGCGAGTCCAGCCGTGTCGGGAGCGAGTCGACACGCATGTCGGGGCGTTGACGTGTTTCGGCGGCGTTGACCGCATGTCCGACGCGTGTCAAACACGTGTCCGCGTCCGACACGCGTCGGACACGGACTCGGGGCTTGTTTCGGCGTGTCGGTGCTTCATACACTGGTCTGTCTCCCTTAACCACTTAACCTTATGATGGATTTGGACTTTCAGCTAACTGTGAGCAATGCATATCTAGTTAAATCGTAATTTCAATTGATGGTTAGTGAATAACCTTACCATATGACAATTTTATTAAAAAAGGTTACCCTGCATAAAATTGCCAGCTTTGCCCATAATAAGGTGCTCAATTTATATAGCCATGTTATATAATAACTCTCAACCTCACTATGAGAATTTTGGCGTGTGGAAGGGACTTTAGGCGGGTTATATGCTGAGAGTAAACGTTTGGTTTACTTGATGTCATTGACACGCTCAAAAGATATATGACATAGATAAACATATCCAGTCACAACACGGTCTTCAACTTAAATTACCGATATGTGGGTAACAAAATATGGGATGTTATTCAGAAGTATGAAACTGTTTTGTGCTTTTGTTTCAATAAATTATCACTTCGAGAAAAGTTTGAGTACACTTGTATTGTTCAAAGGCAACAAGAAAATCATGCAGCTAACTGCAGGAACAACACTTGAATTGTAATAAAAGCTTGCTGTGTCCTGCTCCTACCCTTGATTACAAATTCATGGATGGCTGAAAGAATCAGGTTCTATATGCTGGCCAACCAGTAAATTTAGTAATTTGCCATTAAAAGCTACAAGCAAAACCAAGCTCATTCCTTTTCCATCCAAATTTCTATCCATAGTGCCTGTTCTCATATGAATAAACACAGACTTGATAAGCTAGATATATAGGGACATAAAAAGCCAATGTTATAACTTAGAAGGGAGCCTGGATATGTGCATTTATTAGATGAAGATAGGCCTGATGTGGGACATGAGTTTGATGTCTCCTGATTCTCAAGGATTCTTCCTATGAGATAAGCTAAAGAATTCTAGAGGCTTTGGTGTAGGTGGCATTATTTTCCAACACCGACAACTCATATTTAGTGAAGGATTTTTTTTCCCTTCCTCAGTTTTTTAGTTATCTGCTATTTGATTGCTACGATTGATCTTTCTTTTAAGTCGAACATGCTCTTGCTTGATATGTAATCATCACTGGTATCACCTAAAGATTTTCCATCAAATTGTGGTCAGCTATGGTGCATGTCTGAGAATCAAGAATCTTCAAAAATAAACTCAGATCATAACCTCTCACATTTAATTTCTTAGCTTCGATTATAACAATTCAACCACATTGTGCAGCCGTGCTTGTTGAGAATGGGAAGTTTCTCTTGACAGCTAAAAGGACTCGCCGTACAACTTCCACAGAGTACATAATATCCATGGATGCTGATAATATATCACGATCCAGCAACATGTACATTGGAAAATTGAGGTAATGATATAACAAAATCTTACATCCTTCTCAAAATTTTCACATGTAAATCATTTGTAACCAACCAAGACTTCTTATTTTCAAGGTCAAATTTCCTCGGCACAAAGTTCATAATGTATGATACACAGCCTCCATACAATGCTGGAACCCCTTCTCAACCCGGTAAAACTAGCCGTAGGTTCTATTCCAAGAAAGTCTCGCCTAAACCCGCTTCGGGCAGCTACAACATAGCCCAGATTACGTACGAGCTCAACGTCCTCGGCACTCGGGGTCCACGTCGAATGAACTGCACGATGTATTCCATCCCAGCCTCCTCCCTTGACGCCGGAGGCGTCGTCCCTGGCCAGCCTGACCAACTCTTCCCTCGCTCTCTTGACGATTCCTTTCGCAGTATCGCCTTTTCAAAGTCTGCCGCCGACAGCAGTTCCAGAGATTTCAGCAGTTCCCGGTTCTCCGAGATATCCGGAGCTTCTAGAAGGGTAGAAAGTTCTAGATTCGCCGACATTGCAGGATCATCAAGGAGGATCGAGAGTTCTCGGTTTTCTGACATATCTGAAGGTGCTAGGGTTTTGGCTGACATCTCGGGTGGGACTAGGGTTTTGGCCGATGATGAGGATGAGGGCAAAGAAAGGCCTCTTGTGCTCAAGAACAAGGCGCCGAGGTGGCACGAGCAGCTGCAGTGCTGGTGCCTTAACTTCCGTGGGCGTGTGACGGTTGCGTCCGTTAAGAACTTCCAGCTCATCGCTGCGACACAGCCGGCTGCCGGAGCTCCGACGCCGTCACAGCCGGCACCACCGCCGGAGCACGATAAGATCATCCTGCAGTTTGGGAAGGTGGCAAAGGATATGTTCACTATGGATTATAG